CCCAGTGCTTCCACGAAACTTCCAAGGGCCCTGGCTGTGTTAGTCTGTTTACATTGTTATAAAGGAATACCTGAGGATGGTTAATTTATAAAGAAAGGTGGTTTACTTGGCTCACAGTTCTGCAGGCTGTATAGGAAGCCTAGTGCTGGCATCTGCACTACAGGGAGGCCTCAAGAAGCTTCCAGTCATGGCAGAAGGCAAAGGGGGAGCTGGTATATCACATAGTGAGAGAGAGAGGAGGAGGTACCAGGCTCTTTTAAATAACCAGCTCTTGGGTGAGCTCATAAAGTGAGAACTCACTCATTATCACGAGGACAGCACCAAGCCATTCATGGGGGATCCACCCCGTAACCCTCATACCTCACACTAGGCCCCAGCTCCAATGCTGGGGATTACATTTCACCATGAGATTTGGAAGGGACAAATATCCAAACCATTTCACCAGCTTTCCTGAGTTTTTTTGTTTTGTTTTGTTTTGTTTTTTTCAGAAACACAATGGAAAGCCAAAGAATGGTTAATTCTCTACTAAGATTCTTCCACCCAAGAGGCATTTTGCTGGTGCCTCATGCCTATAATCCATCATTTGGGAGGCTGAGGCAAGAGGATCACTTGAGCCCAGGAGTTTGAGACCAGCCTGGGCAACATTCTGGTGACTTGGGACTTGGTAGGCTTAAGTCCGGGAGGCAAAGAGGTTGCAGTGAGACAAAATCATGCCACTGCACTCCAGCCTGGGCAACAGAGCTAGACTCTGTCTCAAAAAAAAAAAAAAAAAAAAGATTCAGGGATGACTTTTGTCTGCTCCACAATGTTTGGGGACCTCAGCTGGGAACTTGAAGGCTGAGGTACCTTGAAAGCTGGGAGGCTGGAATCATCTGAAGATTGTTCTCTCACATGCCTGATGACCCTGGGAAGATTCAGACTAGGAGCAAACTGACACCCTAAGCAGAGTCTGGGTGGCTTCATCCTCACAGCATGGTAGCCTTGGGTCAGTAGGTTTCTCAAGTGGTGTCTCAGGGCTCCAAGCACAAGTGTTCCAGCAAAAAAAGATGGAAGCTATATGGCCTTTTATGAACTAGCCTCAGAACTCTCCCTCATTCTTATTTAACCTGTATTCACATTTTCCCACTTGATCTTCTACTTGTGTGCCAACAACTGAAGCATTCTAAGCAAGGTCCTCTAGACTCAGGAGGGTGTAATTCCCACAGTACCTTTCCACTGGCTTGGCACCACCAGAGAGGGGAATCTCATCTCTTTCCCTGGCTTAGGACAGAAGTGATACTGTGGGCACCTCTCCGTAGTTCCCAATCTCTACTGTATTCCCTTTGTGTCGTTGAAGAAGGTCTCATGAGGAGGGGCAGTGTGGGGAGGAAGGAACTCACATTACTGTTTTTTTGTGATGATGCCAATCTAGCACTTTCAAAGGACTTCAAAAGAGCATGTGCTAGATTCCAGTTTTACTGACATGAATTGGAATAGAGTGGCCATAATCTCTTCCCTGAGTGTAATGTTCTGTGATAAGAACATCCTAGAGAGCCTGAAATATGAGTAGGCACCTGTCATTCCAGTAACCTAAAGCAGCAGATCTTCCTAGCACATTTGGTTTCCTAGAGCACAAGAAGCTACACAAGGGTAGGAACACAGGGAAAGGCAGGAAAACACATGTAGTAGAGGGAGGGAGGACGAAACAGCTGACTAAAGGCCAAAGCTGTTAAGCGGCACCAGTACAGCCACCAGCTGGCTACACGTGTGAGATGAGCACTTGAAATGTGGCTATGGCGAACTCTGAGGTGTGATGCAAGCATAAGATGCACACTAGATTCTGAAGATGTGATGTAACAGAAAGAATGCAAATATCTCAATAATTTTTTATATTGACATGTTAAACTGCTAACATTTGGGATATAAGGGGTAAACATTAGTTTCACCTGTTTCTTCTTGCTTTTTCTTTCTTTTTGAGAGAGTCTTGCTCTGTCACCCCAGCTAGAGTGTACAGTCTTCGCTCACTTCAACCTCTGCCTCCCAGGCTCAAGCAATTCTCATGCTTCAGCCTCCCAAGTAGGTGGGATTACAGGTGCACACCACCGCACCTGGATAATGTTTGTATTTTTAACAGAGACATGGTTTCACCATGTTGGCCAGACTGGCCTCAACTGATCCGCCCACTTTGGCCTCCCAAAATGCTGGGATTACAGGCATGAGCCTCTGTGCCTGGCCCTCTTCTTGCTTTTTCTCTTTCTTTTTTGAGACAAAGTTTCGCTCTTGTTACCCAGGCTGGAGTGCAATTGCATAATCTTGGGCCACCGCAATCTCTGCCTCCTGGGTTCAAGCAATTCTCCTGCCTCAGCCTCCCGAGTAGCTGGGACTACGGGCGTGCACTACCATGCCCAGCTAATTTTTGTATTTTTAGTAGAGATGGGGTTTCATCATGTTAACCAGGATGGTCTTGATCTTTTGACCTCATGATCCACCTGCCTCGGCCTCCCAAAGTGCTGGGATTACAGGTGTAATCCACCACGCCCGGCCTCTTCTTGCTTTTTCAATGGGGCTACCAGAATATTAATTTATGTGATGTGCATTGTTTCAATGGGACAGTGTTGCTATGTACTGTGTACCTGGCTTTCTCCTGTGGCTTTTTTTTTTAAGAGACGGTGTCTCACTGTGTTACCCAGGATGGAGCGCAGTGGCTACTCACAGGCACAATCCCACCACTTATCAGCATGGGAGTGTTATGTTTTTTGTTTGTTTGTTTTGAGATGGAGTTTCACTCGTTACCCAGGCTGGAGTGCAATGGTGCGATCTTCGCTCACCGCAACCTCCGCCTCCCGGGTTCAGGCAATTCTCCTGCCTCAACCTCCTGAGTAGCTGGGATTACAGGCACGTGCCACCATGCCCAGCTAATGTTTTGTATTTTTAATAGAGACAGGGTTTCACCATGTTGACCACGATGATCTCGATCTCTTGACCTCGTGATCCACCCGCCTCGGCCTCCCAAAGTGCTGGGATTACAGGCTTGAGCCACCGCGCCCGGCTATGTTTTGTTTTGAGATGGAGTTTCACTCGTCACCCAGGCTGGAGTACACTGGCATACTCTAGGCTCACTGTAACTTCTGCCTCTTGGGTCCAAGTGATTCTCCTGCCTCAGCCTCCCAAGTAGCTGAGATTAATGGCATGCACCACCGTGCCCAGCTAATGTTGTATTTTTAGTAGAGATGGGGTTTCACCATGAACTCCTGACCTCAGGTGATCTGCCTGTCTTGACCTCCTAAAGTACTGGGATTACAGGTGTGAGTCCAACCAGCATGGGAGTTTTGACCTGCTCTGGTTCACCCTCCTTAGGCAAGCTAGTGGCCATCTGCTCCAAGGAGGTCATTATATTGATGCTGAACTTAGTGTGGACACCGATCAGCATAGCACACTACAGCCCAGAATTCCTGGGTTCAAGTGATCCTCCCACTTCAACCTCCCAAGCAGCTGGGACTAGAGGCAGATGCAGCCACACCTGACTCTCCAGTGGCTTTTAAATGACAAAGGCATTAATCCAAAGGCACTCCACAATCATACTGAGAAGCAGTATTGGAAGACTATCTGCAACATGGTTTCCCCAAGAGAGAAATTTTAAGTAAGTAGAAATGTATATCCCAGCATTGGGATTTAAAAAATCAAATTGATGGATGTAACCACAACTGATAACCAAAAACAGCCAATGCAATTTCTAATGAGGGCAGCAAGTCACCATTTAAAGGTTATAGTTGTCAGAAAGACTATTTGTGGACTCAGGGTTCAACAAAATGTTAAATTGTATGAAAACAAAACCTTACTAAACAGCAGGATGCAGAATCAATGAAAACACAGTTCAAAAGGATTAACTTGAACATTTCCGAAAGATGAATCTTACAAAACATAAGTTTCTAACATGAATTTACTATTGCTTATAAGATGATGGTTTAACAAAGGAAAATTCTTCCTTTTTGTAAACAAACAAATATCTGTGTTTCTAATGCAAGTTCTGCAGAGAAATGTAGAGGGAGAACAGAGCAGCAAAAGCCATTTCAGAATTAGTGAGACTCTATGGGGGCAGCTTTACATTTTGAGTCTTCCCATACAAAGCTTTTCAATCTCACTGCATATAAAGATTTATTGCAAAAATAATGCAGGGATAATTAAAAACCTGTTTATAGTACACTGATACTTTGTCATATGGAATTCAAATCTGTGACTGACTTCCACATACCCTGATCAAAAAATACACAGGCAAATCAGACAGCTTTTTACTGAGACAGTCAGTATCCACAGTGATTCCATAAAGATGCCACTCCTATTTCTAGAACACTCTGCCATACTATCATTTGGGACTATCAGAGTCAACCTTCACCATTCATAAGCACTTTCCTCTGAACAATGTAATGTGCAATAATGGCAAATTCTGACTTCATTTGGTTCTTGTATATGAAAGGCATTTGTTGGGTTTTTCACCAGTTTGAACATCTCTGGTTTGGAATACGGTGAATCCTTGGACAAAAGGTAACCCTGGATCCACTACCTTTGTTCCATTTCTTTTTTTGTAGGTTCTATAATGTAGCACTAATGGCTATTCAAGGCTGAAGGTCCTGAGTGTTGATTATCTGCATGTTTCCCTACAGTTTGGATGCAGGGATGGATGACCTAGAGCTTGGTGGTCCCACAGTCATCTTTCATCAGTGTGAACTCTGTGAGAGTGTTTGAGGGGTGTGCTGTGTGAAAAGGCTTGTGTATGGGCCAGGCATGGTGGCTTGTGCCTGTAATCCCAACACTTTGGGAGGTCAAGGCAGGCAGATCATCTGAGGTCAGGAGTTCAAGACTAGCCTGACCAACATGGAGAAACACCATCTCTACTAAAAATACAAAATTAGCTGGGTGTGGTGGTGCATGCCTGTAATCTCAGCTACTTGGGAGGCTGAGGCAGGAGAATTGCTTGAACCCTGGAGGCGGAGGTTGTGGTGAGCCAAGGTCACGCCATTGCACTCCAGTCTGGGCAACAAAACTGAAACTCCATCTCAAAACAAACAAAAAAGGCTTGTGTATGAATATACATTTCTCATGTGTATGATTGGGTCAAATCTAGAAAGGGACGTGAGCTATGGCTTCAGGTCTTCCTCTGTCCCCAGCACATGTGAAGTTGTGTTTACTCAGTGTGAGTTCTCTGGTGCTTGGTAAGGGAGGAGCTGTGTGTAAAGGCTTTTCCACAGTCTGTACAGGCATACGGCTTCTCTCCTGTGTGGATCCTCCGGTGCTGAGTGAGATGGGTGCTCTGCCTAAAGGACTTCCCACAATCGTGACACTCATAGGGCTTTTCCCCAGTGTGAGTCCTTTCATGCTGGCTGAGTGAGGAGCTGTGGCTGAAGGATTTCCCACACTCATTGCAGCCATAGGGCTTTTCCTTGGTGTGAATCCTCTGATGTTCGATGAGCAGGGAACTCTGGCTGAAGGCTCTGCCACATTGGTTACATTCATAGGGTTTCTCTCCTGTGTGGATCCTCTGATGCTGAATGAGGGGAGCAAGCTGGCTGAAGGCTTTGCCACACTCATTGCATTTGTAGGGCTTCTCCCCAGTGTGGATTCGCTGATGTTTGGTTAGGGACGAGCTGTGGCTGAATGCCTTGCCACAGTCGTTGCATTCGTAGGGCTTCTCTCCTGTGTGGATTCGCAAGTGTTGGGTGAGGTGTGTGCTCTGCCGGAAGGCCTTCCCACACTGACTGCACTCATAGGGCTTCTCTCCTGTGTGTGTCCGCTCATGCTGGCTGAGGGAGGAGCTGTGGCTGAAAGTTTTCCCACACTCGTTGCATGCGTAGGGCTTCTCTCCTGTGTGAATCCTCCGATGCTCGGTCAGGAGTGTGCTCTGGCTGAAGGCTTTCCCACACTCACTGCATTCATAGGGCTTTTCTCCCGTGTGGGTCCTCTGGTGCTGAATCAATGGTGTGATCTGGGTGAAGGCTTTTCCACACTCATGGCACTCGTAGGGCTTCTCCCCTGTGTGGATTCGCTGGTGTTTTGTCAAGGATGAGCTGTGGCTGAAGGCCTTGCCACACTCACTACACTGATAGGGTTTCTCCCCAGTGTGGATTCGCACATGCTGGGTGAGGTGGATGCTTTGCCGGAAGGCTTTCCCGCACTCGCTGCACTCGTAGGGCTTCTCACCTGTGTGAGTTCGCTCATGTTGGCTGAAGGAGGACCTAAAACTGAAGGATTTCCCACATTCGCTGCACTCATAGGGCTTCTCACCTGTGTGAGTTCTCTGGTGCTGGATAAGTGGGGCAATTTGGTTGAAGGTCCTCCCACACTGAGTACATTTATAGGGTTTCTCCCCAGTATGGATTCTCTGGTGTTTAGTAAGTGCTGAGCTGTTTTGGAAGGCTTTTCTGCATTCGGGACATTCATAAGGTCTCTCTCCTGTGTGCGTCCGGTGGTGTTCAATAAGGGCTGAGCTGTGACTAAAGGCCTTTCCACATTCCTGACATTTGTAGGGTTTCTCTTTTACATAGGTTTTCTGTAGAACATTTAGGTCTGGCTTCTCCCTTTTTCCACATGTTCCCCATGTGTGGGGGCCTTGTCTTTTAGGAGTCATTGGTTGATGTGGGAGATCAGAGTTCAGACTTAAGTTTTCTCCAAACCCATTCCTCTGCCACTGCTCCTGAACAGGTGTCTTCACAGGCGTGAAGGCTGCCAGCACTGCCAGGCCCTCTAGGCTCTCACAACTCCATTCCCAGTGGCCCTCAGTGTCCTCACCCCTGCAGTACCACAGACCAGCCCACAGGAATCTTTCTACCAAGATGACACTGTCGGATATTTCTTCAGAGATGCCTTGCTTAGAACTGATGGTTTGACTTTGGGTCTAGATTCCAGGTCTGAAAGAAGCAAAAACTGAAAATGTCCCTTAATCTCTGTTCCAGGGCAAAAGAGTTTGTGGTGAGATGGGAAGAGGAAGGATAAAACTAATGATTTTGAAAAGTTCAAGGTATAAGTGGCTTTGACCATTTAAAAATACAGTTTTGCAAACCAGGAAAGGAAGAGAGAGAGGGAAAAACAGATTAAGAAAGAGGAAAATAAGAAATAAGGAAAGGAGCCGGGCGCGGTGGCTCAAGCCTGTAATCCCAGCATTTTGGGAGGCCGAGGCGGGTGGATCACGAGGTCAACAGATCGAGACCATCCTGGTCAACATGGTGAAACCCCGTCTCCACTAAAAGTACAAAAAATTAGCTGGGCATGGTGGCGCGTGCCTGTAATCCCAGCTACTCAGGAGGCTGAGGCAGGAGAATTGCCTGAACCCGGGAGGCGGAGGTTGCGGTGAGCCGAGATCGCGCCATTGCACTCTAGCCTGGGTAACATGAGTGAAACTCCGTCTCAAAAAAAAAAAAAAAAAAAGAAATAAGGAAAGGAAGAAGAGAGGGAGGAAAAAACAGTTGGGACTAGGAGTATGGATGGAGTCTTTGAGGGAAGCACAGAGGAGGGTCCAGAGGGGATGCCCAGGAGAGAGCACTCAGATGCACAGATGCACTGGACTTGGAAGGAGCCGTGTGGCAGCCAGGCCCCAGTTACAGTGGCCTCCACAATGCCAGGTGGCAACGGAGAAGAAGGTGCTGCATGGGGAAAGTCTGCTGACACCCAGCTTCTTCCTGGCAGCATATGCTTGTTGTGCCACCTCACTCAAGATGTAAAGGAACCTATCTGCTCCCCACAAACACAAATAGCTGCAACATGCATCACTCGGAGGATGGATAGATAACCCATGGTGTATTTGAGTACTCTGATCTGCTTATTTTGACTGTTTCACTGTGAACCCCCTGAGAATAGGGGTTTCTGTCCACCTTGCTCACCACTGTATCTATAGTCCACAGCAAGAACTCAATATACATGCTAAATGAATGAACAAATGCACTCCTTCCTCCTCCTCCTTCCTGGCAGGACTCCCTTTTTGCCCTGGTACCCAGCCCTCTCTGCACCACCGTGATCTAGCTACATGCTGCCCCTACCCTGACACCACAATGGCCTAGAGGTGTGATGTGGGCACCTTCCCCATATTGTTATGCTTCAGGGAAAAGTTCCATTAAAAAATAAAAAAAAGTTAAGCAGGGCTGGGCGCGGTGGCTCAAGCCTGTAATCCCAGCACTTTGGTAGGCCGAGGCGGGTGGATCACGAGGTCAAGAGATCGAGACCATCCCGGTCAACATGGTGAAACCCCGTCTCTACTAAAAATACAAAAAATCAGCTGGGCATGGTGGCGCATGCCTGTAATCCCAGCTACTCAGGAGGCTGAGGCAGGAGAATTGCCTGAACCCAGGAGACGGAGGTTGCAGGGAGCCGAGATCGCCCCCTTGCTTTTCATTGGGCAAAACAACCAAAACACTCCCTAAAAAAAAAAAAAAAAAAAGTTAAGCCAGGAATGAGTGGCAGAATAGTGGCCTCCCTAGATGGCCACATCCTAACCCTAGAGCCTGTATGTTTCCAATTACATGGGAGGGAGGAATTAAGGTTGCTATTATTAGCTGACATTAAAATAGAGAAATTATACTGGATTATCCGGGTGGGCCTGTGTAATTACAAGGGTCCATAAATGTGGAACAGAGGCAGAAGAGTCAGAGTCAGAGTGAATATGATGTGAGACTTGACCAGCCCTTGCTGACTGTGAAGATGGACAAGGCCATAGCCAAGGAATGTGGGTGCCTCTAGAACCTGAAAAATGCAAAGAAATGGATTACCAGCCAGGCACAGGGCCTCATGCCTATAATCTCAACACTTTGGGCAGCTGAGGCGGGAGGACTGCTTGAGCCCAGGAGTTTAAGACATGCCTGGGCAAAATGGCAAGACCTTGTTTCTATAAAAAATAAAGCAAAAATTAGCTGGGCATGGTGACACATGCCTGTAGTCTCAGCTACTCAGGAGGCTGAGGCAGGAGGATTACTTGAACCCAGAAGGTCAAGGCTGCTGTGAGCCACAATCATACCACCACGCTCCAGCCTGGGCAAGAAAGCAAAAACCTATCTCTAAGAAAACAAAAAAGGAGAGAAAGAAAGAAATGAATTCTTCCCTTCCCCAGCGCCTCCAGAAAGAATAGTGCCCTGCTGACATCTTTATTATATCCCAGTGAGACCTATTTTGGACTTGTGATCTCTAGAACTTTAAGATAATTCACTTTGCTTTATGCTACGAAGTTTGTAGTATTGTTGACCTTGAAAAATGAGGGGGCTAGGGGCACTGACCCCAGTGCAGTAGAAAATCTGTGGGCCGGGCATGGTGGCTCATTCCTGTAATCCCACCCCTTTGGGAGGCTGAGGCAGGCGGATTACCAGGTCAAGAGATATTGAGATCATCCTAGCCAACATGGTGAAACCCCGTCTCTACTAAAAAATACAAAAATTAGCTGGACGTGGTGGCACGCGCCTGTAGTCCCAGCTACACAGGAGGCTGAGGCAGGGGAATTGCTTGAACCTGGGAGGCAGAGGTTGCGGTGAGCCAAGATCGCGCCACTGCACTCCAGCCTGGCACCTGGTGACAGAGTGAAACTGTCTCAAAAAAAAAAAAAAAAGAAAGAAAATCTGTCTATAACTTTTAATTCCCCAAAAACTTACCTACTAAAAGCTTACTGTTGACCATACTGATAAAATAGTTAACACTTTTTTATTTTTATTTTTTTTTGAGACATGGTCTCACTCTGTCACCCAGGCTGGAGCACAGTGGCGTGATCTTGGCTCACTGCAATCTCTGCCTCCTGAGTTCAAGCAATTCTCCTGCCTCAGCCTCCCAAGTAGTTGGGACTACAGGCGTACGCACCACCATGCCCAGTTAATTTTCTTTTTGTATTTTTTTGTAGAGACAGGGTTTCATCATGTTGGCCACACTGGTCTTGAACTCCCAACCTCAAATGATCTCCCTGAGACAACTCAGGGGCCTTGATCAAATGATCCTGGGCTCAAGCAATTCTCCCACCTCGGCCTCCCAAAGTGCTGAGATTACAGGTGTGAGCCACTGCTCCCAGCCCTTAGTTAACACATATTTTATATATGTATTATATAATGTATTCTTAAAGTAAGCTAGAGAAAAGAAAATGCTATTAAAAAAATCATAAGGAAGAGAAGATATATTTACTATGCATTAAATGGAAGTAGATCACCATAAAGATCTTCATCCTCATTCTCTTCACAGTGAGTAGGCTGAGAAAAAATAGGCGGGGGGGCCGGGCGCGGTGGCTCATACCTGTAATCCCAGCACTTTGGGAGGCCAAGGCAGGCGGATCACGAGGTCAAGAGATCAAGACCATCCTGGTCAACATGGTGAAACCCCGTCTCTACTAAAAATACAAAACATTAGCTGGGCATGGTGGCGCATGCCTGTAATCCCAGCTACTCAGGAGGCTGAGGCAGGAGAATTGCCTGAACCCAGGAGGCGGAGGTTGCGGTGAGCCAAGATCATGCCATTGCACTCCAGCCTGGGTAACAAGAGCGAAACTCTGTCTCAAAAAAAATAGGAGGGGTTGGTCTTGCTGTCTCAGGGGGTGGCTGAGGCGGAAGAAAATCCATGTATAAATGGACCCACACAGTTCAAACCCATGTTAAAGGGTCAATTGTAACTTGTTGCAGGAAGAGCAACAGGAAGGTAATATACTGGGTAAAGGCTGCCTGTTGTTGATGTGGAGGGACCCTATTGTGGCCCTCACCCACACTGGCCATCCCTCCTGGACTCTGGCCATGCTTCCCACCTGATGCCAATGGGAAATTTCCTGTCAGTGGGCTAGGATATCTCTGCTACCTACCAATCACCATACAGTCGCATGGCAGAACCCAGCCTGGATCCACTGACCCATAGACACATGAGTTATAAACAATTATTTGATTTAAGCCACTGAGGTCAGAGTGCTTTTTCTACACAAGAGCTGACTGATGCATCACTTCAGGCCTTTGCACCTGCTGTTTTCTCTGCCTGAAATACTACCGTTCTCAGACTGCTTCAAGTCACATTTCACCTCCTTAGAGAGGCTATCCCTCATCTCTCTGCTAAAGTCTCCTCACCCCTATCCTAGTTTCTACCTCATCACTGATTTTCATTTTCTCAGCATTCATCACAATGTGTAATCATCCAACTCATTTTATTATTTTACTGATTTATTGCTTGTCTTCCCAACTCCCTCACCAAGAATGTAAATCCAGTGAAGATGAAGACTTGGTGTCACTCACAGCAAAATGGGTGCTTGATAAATCTTCACTAAGACTGAGCAGTAAATGTGCTGTGAAGAATTCGCAGATGCAGAGAGAAACCAGGAAGCAGGCATGGACAGGCTTCTGTCAGCCCTGAAGGGCTCGAATCTCACCTTGGTACACACTTTGGGGAACTCCAGGGTCCACGTCCCACAGCTCTGCCTCTTGCTCCAGCAGGGAGATGATGTTTGGCTTTGGTAACCAATGTCATGCTCAGGGAGAGACCCTAGAGTGAGCATTTGTATCCCAGGACCCTTCCTGACCCTCAGCCCATTCCAGGTCCCAAATGGCTGGGGGCCCCTGAGTGACTTCAGTTGTCATACCAACAACCATAGATGTTCCTCAGGGACTCCATTCCCCTACTCTCTGTCCCCGACCCTACCCCTGGTTCTGGGGTGGACATGTGACCCAGGCCTGGCCAATCAGAACTCAGCTTCTTCCCCTGCCCACCGGCAATAATAAGCATTGTGAAGACCTGGCAGCCAAACCAAGACAACTCAGAGGACTTGATGATGCCTGGGCCATAGACCCTGTCTTTTCTGCTGGTCTTGGACCCAGGAAAGTCACCCTGGCAGTTGCCTTATCACCTTCAGAGAAGCCTATCTGGAAATAAAGCCAGAAAGAGATTGCTATGGTCTGAATGTTAGTGTCCCCCTAAAATTCAGGCTATGCATAGTGGCTTATGTCTATAATCCCAGCACTTTGGGAGGCTGAGGTGGATCACTTTTGTCTAGAGTTTGAGAGCAGCCTGGGCAACAGAGCAAGTCCCCATCTCTACAAAAAAATTTTACATTAGCTGGGTGTGGTGGTATGCACCTGTAGTCCCAGCTACTTGAGAGACTGAAATGGGAGGTTTACTTGAACCAGGTTGAATGTGCAGCAAGCCATGACTGTGCCACAGCACTCTAGCCTGGGCCAGAGAACAAGACCATTTCTTAAAAAAGGTTTCAGTGCTGGAACCTAATACCCAATGTGATAGTGTTGAGATAGGGCCGTGGGGAAGTGATTAATTCATGAGGGCTCTATTCATGAATGGGATTGGTGACCCTATAAAAGAAGCTTGAGGGAGCTCCCTTGCCCCTTATGACATGCCAGGACACAGGAAGAAAGTGCCATCAGTGATGAGCAGGCCCTCACCAAACACTGAATTTGTTGATACCTTGATCTTAGGCTTCCCAGCCTCGAGAACGGTGAGCAACAAACATCTATTGTTTATAAACTACCCAGTCTAAGGTATTTTAGCAGCCCTAACAGACTAAGGCAGAAGTGCAGAGGAAAGTATTGAAGAGGGAGGGGCTCCTGACAGCTCTACAGAGGACCCTTGTCTACCCTGGGATTCTGTTGTCTTGAGACCCAGTATGTTTCCCTCACCTCATGTTTCTCTGCTTCTGGTGATTTCAGGTTGGGTCTGTGACTTGCTAATATTGGTCCTAATTGATATTTCCAACATTAAAACAGTCAGGTTCTTTCTTTTTTTTGAGATGGAGTCTCACTCCGTTGCCAAGCTGGAGTGTGGTGGCACAATCTTGGCTCACTGCAACCTCTGCCTCCTGGGTTCATATGATTCTCCTGCCTTAGCCTCCCGAGTAGCTGGGACTACAGGTGTGTGCCACCATGCCCAGCTAATTTTTGTATTTTCAGTAGAGATGGGGTTTCACCATGTTGGCCAGGTTGGTCTCAATCTCTTGACCTCATGATCTGCCTGCCTTGGCCTCCCAAAGTGCTGGGATTATAGGCGTGAGAAACTGCACCCAGCCCAAGTTAGGGTCTTAAAGGTCAAGACACATGCCCAGGCATTTGCTTTTAAAGCACAGTCCTGTACCCATATTTAACCTAGTAGAATCAGAATCCATATCAGAAACAGAACATCAAGGACACGGGTGTGGCCTTACCCACAGTGACCAGAAGCCTGAAGGTGTCCAGCATTACATCACAATACAAGGTCCTCTGGGCAGGCTCCAGCTGCCGCCACTCCTCCTGGGTGAAGTCCACCACCACATCCTCAAAGGTCACTTGCTCCTGAAACATCACATGAGTGTCTTCAGCCAAGCCAAACCTAGCACTGGCTGCTGGTGGGGTACCTGGTGAATGCCAGCCAGGCTGGGCCAGATGGAGTTCTCTTTGGTCTGGGGTTTTGGGTCAGGTTTTTCCATAGGGCCTGAATGGGCGCCCTGCTGATGGGAGAGGATCTGGGGATCTAAGGCATCATACCCATTGCCAATAATTTGGCTCTTGAAATAAGAAATGATGCAGAGGAGCCAATAAAGGAGTAGACAAGACTGGCATGGTGTTGCACGTCTGTGGTCCCAGCTGCTCAACAGGCTGAGGTGGGAGGATCACTTGAGCCCACGAGTTTGAAGCTACAGTGAACTGTGATTGCATCACTGCGTTTTAGCCTAGGGGATAAAGGTATAAAGCTAGTAGTAGCAAGTCCAAAGACTGAATCTGGGTTTGTTTTTTAATTTTTTAGAAACAAGGTCTTGGCCGGGCGTGGTGGCTCACGCCTGTAATCCCAGCACTTTGGGAGGCCGAGGCGGGTGGATCATGAGGTCAAGAGATCGAGACCATCCTGGTCAACATGGTGAAACCCCGTCTCTACTAAAAATATAAAAATTAGCTGGGCATGGTGGCGCACGCCTGTAGTCGGCGGAGGCTGTGGTGAGCCGAGATCGTGCCATTGCATTCCAGCCTGGGTAACGAGAGCGAAACTCCGTCTCAAAAAAAAAAAAGAAGAAACAAGGTGTCACTGTCATCCACGCTGGAGTGCCGTGGCGGAATCAGGGCTCACTGCAGCCTCCAACTCCTTCCTGGGCTCAAGCAATCCTCTCCCGTAGCTGGGCTTACAGCTATGAGCCACCGTACCAATCCCTGGTATGAGTTTTCGGACATTCCTACAGGAGGCTGGCTTCTTCCGGTGATCTGGGTGGGGTGACGTCATCATAAAAAGGCGAGTTCCGCCCCTTGGCCTCCGTGCCTGCAGTCCAAGGACGCGGCTTCCAGTGCGCCATCTTTGAGCGCAGCTCGTGCTAAGGCTTCATCTTGGACTTCAGACTGCAGAGTCGGGGCACCTACACTTGTCTGACATCACCCAACCTCAGGTACGCAGTGACGGCCGCACAAACACAAAGCCCACTCAGACCGCCAGCGCAGCGTGGGCAATGCTTTCAGAGGCAGAGGCTGTGGTCGGGGAGCCTGGCGCGGACTTCAGGAGCCCGGGCACGCAGGTAAAGGCCAGGTGCGGGAGTAGAGGCCGGGCCCAGCTAGAGGCCAGGTGTGCGAGTAGAGGCCGGGCATGAGTAGAGGCCAGGTGCGGGAGTAGAAGTCGGACCCAACTAAAGGCCAGGTGCGGGAGTAGAGGCCGGGCCCAACTAGAGGCCAGGTGTGCGAGTAGAGGCCGGGCATGAGTAGAGGCCAGGTGCGGGAGTAGAGGCCGGGCCCAACTAGAGGCCAGGTGTGCGAGTAGAGGCCAGGCATGAGTAGAGGCCAGGCGCGGGAGTAGAGGCCGGGCGCAGCACCAGTTGGGGCTGCGTGCGAGTAGGGCCTGGTGTGAGGAGGCGGCCGGGCGCGAGGTGGAGGACACGCACGAGGAGGCCGAGAATCCCACAGCCTAGGGTTCATGCCCCGGCTTCTGGCAGGAGGGGCTGCCCCTGCTCCGTGGGAAAGGGGAGGTGAGCAGCTGGGCGGGCCGGGGCGGTGCTCAGGTCCGCAAGCCCCGGGGAGCTCCGCGGGGAGCCCTGCCCGAGCCCCGCTGCTCTGTGTGAGCGCGGCCTGGCGTTCTCCCGCCTCTGAGGGAAACTGAGGCCCGACGGGTGCCGACACAAGCCTGCTGCGCACATGACTCTGGCCATTAACGCTGCAGTGACAAGGCCGGGAGACTGCAGTCCTGGCCGTGTGCCTCAGTTTCCCTCTTCCATCAATAAGGATGGCGGCCCGGTGCCCGGGGCGGGGCCGCGGTGGGATCCGGGGCGGGGCGCGCGTTCCCTCAGGGGCGGTCGGAGCGGCTCCAGCCCCGCCCTCCTCAGACCAGGGACGCCCGTCAAAGTCGGCCCCCGCCACCCCCGGAACGGCCTTCCTCAGGCCCGGGCAGCAGAACGGACTCCACACTTACGCGCGCCGCTGGAAACTCGCCCCGCCAGGGCCACAGAACCATAGGAAGAACGCCACACCCCGCCCCGCCGGCTCGGCCTCCCCTCCCCCGCCCCGCCGGCCCGGCCTCCCCGCCCTCCCCCGCACCCCGGCCCGGCCTCCCCTCCCCCGCCCCGCCTCGCCGTCCTCGCTCACCCGCTTGACCGCGAGACGAGGCCGCGGCGCCGGCAGCCGACACTGCGCCTGCGCGCGCCTGACGCCATTTCCGCCCCCCCTCCCCCCGCGTCATCTTGCTCTCGCGGACGGTGTTGGCGGTGTCTCAGTACCACCCGAGTAGGGGTGACGCGGGCGGCAGACGGGGCGTGCCGGGAGCCTGGGCGTCGACGCCGGGTCGGGTCCCGCCTGGAACGCCGTGAGTTCGCGGCGCGACCACACTGGCGTTCCTGTTGGAAACGCTGCGGTCAGCTTTGTTGTTGCCAAACCAGTGGTTTTTCAAAACACACGCTTTAAAACATTGACCAAGGTCGCGTACACAGAAGCCTTTGCATTTTCCACACGGAGGCACCATGGAGAGTTCTCGCTGAATTTATTACCTGGTACAAGGAACATCACGTACAAGACACTAACCGTTAATGACGGCTTCAGACATTGCTAGGTAATTGTCAAAATTGTGCATTTGAACAGCAGCATACTATTCAAAGCTGGTGTGCCCTCGCCGACACGAAATGAATTGTCATTTTCTGAACAGTCACCAAAGCCTGCCAGGCGCTAGGCCCGGGTTGAGCAGCACACAGTAAACGAAGTGGGACACTTAACTGTTCCCTATTCAAGCGGGCTTCATTTCACCGGCGTATATCACACGTCCGTGGAGCGGAGAGGCGAGAAAAGCTAGGAAAGCCAGGGCTGAGCCTTGTGCTTTTGCCAGTTTAAGGGAGGACTGATTAATTCCAATCAGCCTGGCCTCGGGTACTGTATTTGAAGCTGAGGAAAAGTTGCAGGACAAGGGCATTTTTTTTTTTTTTTTTTCTGAAACAACTCTGAAGACAGCAGAGAACACAATAGGAATTATCATACTACACACAGACACTTGAAAAGATTTGGCTAGTTGACACAAAAGTCAAGACTTTAAATTTCATAAGCCGTAAAAGAGTGGCAATTACGAAGAGATACAATGGCTCAAAATCATAATGCACTGATGTAAACAAAGCAAAGGCAAGCTTCTTGGCTTTTCTTTAAGGGTATCCTGCACATTCCAAGAACTGTAAAGCCCTACATTTGCGACTGTCACATTGAAAACCAGCCAGCTTTTCACTCTACTGCAGTAAAGAAGCTATTTACATATAATGCCATTTTTCAGTTGTCTCACAAACCAAATTCAAAATATTTTTGTGTGTATCCTTTCACAAAATGTGTACTCTTGTATTCCCCCCTCCCCCATTTCCTTTTACTGGATCAAATGGTATGAACACACAACTCATGATGAAGTATTTTTCCCAAGTGGTCTGATAGCCCTGGTGAGAAGCTGTCGGTGGTGCCACACTGAGCCTGGTCAGCCCTGATGGCCAGGCAGCCCTGCCCAGGTTCCTCAGATCTTCTGATCCTGGTTTTTCTCAGCCAGGCTTCTAAACCGTACCTGCCTGCAGGGGCGGGCTCTTTCTACAGGGGCAGGTGCTGCTTGGCTCCAGCCAAGTGGGATCGTGTGGACTGGTGAGCCTGGCCTCCCAGGTCTGGATTTCGCAAAAGAACCCAGAGATCGGGATTTCTGTGTGAAATCTTTGGATTTTTAAAAGCTGGTAGGGATTTTGAAGGCTTTAATAATACTCTACCAGTCAAAGATGAGCTGAAGGCTACTCCTGTGCCGTCCTTGCTGTGGTCTGAACTTCCTGCCCTCTCTTGTAACCACTGGCTGGGCCCCTCTCAGCTCCTTCTCTGCTTCCTGTCCGATTCTCCAATTGCAACATTGCTGGTTGCCTGTGTGTGGCCTGGGACAGGACCCCCTTCCCAAACCATGAGCAGGTGGGCTGCACATCAGTGCAGCTTCCAAGCAATCCTGCAATCACAGCATAGATAGCAGAACTGTGTCATGCCTTATGTTAAGGTTTAAAAAGTTAATCTGTCCAACATGTATACATTTAAAATATACCGTAACACTTACTGCTCCCTGGATGTATTTCTTCCTTTAAAAAAAATCGTTTTGAGAGCTTCAAAACCTAGCAATGCCCTGCCCTCCTCTGACCCCAGAGGCCCTGGCGGCCAGGGAGAAAGGTGCCCTGTGAGACTCTGGTCTTCCAGAGCATAAGCCATGTCCTTGCTTCTGTCAGCCAAGGTGGTAAGAGTGGCCCTCCAGGGATGCTTCCCTGGGAAACTGCAGCCCACAAGCTTACTCACTGACTCACTCATCCCTTCACTACGGAGGGCCTGCTGTATGCTTGGCATGGTCAAGTGTGGCGGTGGAGACTGTCCCAGGCACAGGATGAGGCCAGGGTGAGAGAGAGTGTGGAGACAGTCAGGGACACAGTGAGTTAAGGACATCAGCCTCCACCATCCCAGTGCTGGGAGCTATGGAGGTAGCAGGGCCAGGAAGGACACGCTGGAGCTGCCCTGCTGGGCTTTGTCTTTTCAGTGTCCACATTTTAGAGGAACCCTATTCGCTGCAGGATGTGGATGGGCAGAGGGAACCTGGGCTGGAGGCAGAGTTTACGTAGAGGCAACTGCAGGCATTCAAGAAATGGGGACAGAGCCTGGGGCTGATGGTGCAGGGGAGAAAAGAGAACTGAGAGAGGTTGGGAGCTGGGTGCCCAAGGCAATCAAATATCCTTCCTGGAGGCCATCACTTTGGGAGGCCAAGGTGGGCGGATCACCTGAGGTCGGGAGCTCGAGACCAGCTTGACTAACACGGAGAAACCCCATTTCTACTAAAAATACAAAAACTAGCCAGGCGTGGTGGTGCATGCCTGTAAGGAGAATCGCTTGAACCTGGGAGGCGGAGGTTGCAGTGAGCCAAGATTGCGCTATTGTACTGCAGCCTGGGCAACAAGAGTGAAACTCCGTCTCAAAAAAAAAAAAAAAAAATTCTATGGCCTTGGAAGGTGGTGGTCCCTCTAGGGGGAATGGGAACCCCAGAGGGGAGGCAGTTTGCATGATTTTTGTTTTTGCACAAGGGAAGATGAGTTATTTGGACAAACTCAGTTGGAGGACTGAAGGACAGCAGGTGGATGTCTCTGGGGCCAGCCGATCGATGCCCTGTGGGCAGTGGCACCCACTTTCTTGTGCAATTGTGGCACCAACGAACAGAGCTGTGACTGTGCCTCCAGGGAGTGGAGAGTGAGATGGAAATTGCATGGAATGAGCCTCTGGCTCCCAGCAGGTGGGGGCACCTGGGAGAGATGTCTTTACACATCCCGTCATCCTAGACAATCGATCTGTGCCTGAGGGAATGCTCAGGGGGCTTCCGAGAGTAATGGCTGACTGTGGGGGCCAAGACCCCACCCTTCATCCTGAGCTCGGTAGAAGAAGCTCCTCCTTTGCAGGATGAGAGAAAAGGCGCCAGGAGGGGAGCTGGAGCCCACCAGCAATTAAGGCAAGGGATAGAGCCGGGAGCCCCCAGTGGGGACTGCAGGGAAAGGCTGGGGATGCCGGAGGGAGCCAGGAAGCGAGGTCGGGAGGCCCGGTTGAGGGGAGCTCCGTGAAGGCAAGCGTGAGAAGGCAAGTGCGGCAGCGAGGATGAAGTGAAGGCAGTGGAGGGTCTGTGGGAGCTACACAGCCCGTGACGGGCATCAGGGACAGGCCAAGAGTGGGGGCGGCTTGGTTGAGAAGTAGCAGCAGGTGGATGTGACGTGGGTAGGTCCAAAGGCTTTCGAGTTAGAAGGCGACTTGGAAAAAGGTCTCTGCCTGTGTGAATTCACAGTCAGCCCAACGTGGTGTTTCCAAATGAAGTTGGGAGGAGAAAAAAAGACAAAAACTTTTAAGGCTTTTGCTTGAAAAGGGACCAGTGTCCAGCAACAATGAATTGGGGATGGATGAGAAGCAGAATCCGAGGCGGGGTCCCCGCTGATGGCAGGTCGTGACTATGCTGCCTGCCCTTGCTCTGCTCCAGCCAAGCAGCATAGGGGGCCCCACTCTTTGGGGACCATCTGGTTCTTCCTGGCAGAGTAGAAAGCCAGATTTTTATGGTTTAAACAAGTACTGGCATTTTATCTAAAAAAAAAAAATCCTTCCATAAGTCAAACAAAATATAGGCAGGTTAGCCTAAAGGCTACGCCTGAAATCCAGAGACAGAAAGCAGGTTCTGGTTGTCAGGGCGGGAGGGAAAGGGCGAATGAGTGCTGACACCTGTGGGATCTCTTTCTGGGCGAGCGAAAATGTCTTTGGAGCTAGAGAGTGCTGGTAGTTGCACAATGTTGTGAATGTAGTTAATGCCACTGAGCTGTGCATTTTTAGTGACTGAAATGGTAAATTTTATGTGTGTACTTTACAAAAAAAAAAAAAAAATAGGAAAAAAACAAAACCCTGTTTATCTGTTAGGTTCCAAGGGGGCTGAGCTGACAGGAGGGCAGCTGGGGGCAGCTGCACCCTTCTCTGGAATTGGAGCTGCCCAGGCGGGCTCCCGACCTCATGGTCTCAGGGATATCCACAGTGAAATGAAAACCCTGCGGCAGAACCTGCCGCTGGGTCAGGTACTCACAGGGAGACCTGCACAAGGCTTCTGAAAGATGAGATGCTAATGAAACTCGTCTTCAATCCACTTGCAAAACACAGTGTGCAGGATTGACCAGGCTATGCTGTGTAACTGCTGCCTCTCAGCCGAGACCCTGGGATGCTCCCTCCCATGCTGGCTGGAGACCGCAGAGCCGGTGTCCAGGATCTTCTGTGAAACAGCAGTGGCCAGGGATTGGTGGGGCTGGGGGATGTCCCCACCTTCTGGGGCCCATTGGCGCCCCCCAGGGACTCAAGGCTGGGTGGCTGAGGCCCGAGGCTGGCCATTCACATGTGGCCATGAACCGTGTGGAGCTTCTGGTGGTCGATGAGGTGGACCATCCAGGGGAAGGACTTCCCGCAGACGTTGCACTGGAAGGGCCTCTTGGGGCTGCGAGGGGCCGCCGGATCCTGGGCTCCATCCCTGGGTGGGGCGGATTCCCGGGAGCCCTTGCTCCGGGGGCCTTTCTTCTTGGGTGGCTCCAGCAGGTGGATCTTGCTGTGCTCAGCGAGGACGGAGCTATGCAGGAAGACCTTGCCGCACTCAGGGCACGGAAAGGGCCCCTCCTCGCGATGGGTCTTCTGATGCTCGATAAAGTGGGTGACCCAGGTGAAGACCATCCCACAGTCGGCACACTGGAAGGGCCGCCCCCCTCGGGGCCCACGCGGTGCTCCCGAGGTGCATGTAGCAGCCTCTTGGGTGCCACCTTTAGTGTGCTTGAGGGATGGCTGCTGGCGGCTGCCCTGGTTGGTGTTCCTGTTTTTCTTTCGGGGACTGATTCTCTGACCACTCAGACCCTTGGGGCCTGAGGTCACAGCCCCTTCTGCCCGCAGGTCTGAGGAGGGCCCTGGGAGAAGATCCTCAGGCTCGTCCCAGATACTCGGCTTCAGAGGCAAGCAGGCCCGGGACCCTGTGGAGAGTGAGGGAGACGGGTCACCTGTAGTGAGTGGACTGCCTTGGCATCTCCCTTTGTCCCTGAGGGGCATGGAGGGCCCCAATGACTGAGCCAAGTCCAGGTCTTTCCCCTGCTCAATATGGCCCTTCTGCCCTTCGTCCTGTCCTTCAAGATAGGAGGGCACATGTTTTGGGGGCGGATCCCTCAGCACTGGCCCCTCGTTCCTACCTGGCTGGCCCTCTGGGTAACCCCCTGCTCCAACACTCTCAGTCTGTCTAGCTTGACTGCTGTTCAGGTGGGGAGGCCTGTGCCCTTCTTGTGGGGTGAACAGTGTGCATGGCAGTTCTAGGGGCCCCAGACCTCAGTCCCCACGGGAGGTGTGTATGGTTTCTGAGGGGAGTGTGGAGTTCACCACTGAAGCCCCTAACTCCACCCATTAACCAAGTCTGTGGCCTTGGGTTGAGGTCCCAAACTCCATTTCCAAACTTTAATCTGCACAAGAGCCAGACTCACCCATCGAGCCCGGGGCGCGGGGCGGCTCGGCCTCTGCCCTGGTGTGCAGACTCTGCGGGAGCTGGGTGGGCTCCAGCCACTCACTTTCCTCTGGGGGTGCCGGGGCTGCCGCTGCCGCATCCAGGATCAGCTCAGACGCCTGGAATGGCAAACACGGGACTGTTGGGCAGCTGCCCCTCAGGTGCTGTCCTCCCCCCATCACCGAACAACAAAGGAACGGGTCATCGCCAAAGGCTCTCCCAGGGCTGCGTGAGGTGGTATGCGCCTGTTGTTCCTGTGCTTTGGGATGCTGATGCCAGAGGATTGCTTGAGGCCAGGATTTTGGGATCAGCCTAGGCAACAAGCAAGACCTCATTTATACAAAAAATAAATAATCACTCCCAAGGAGCTCTTACCAGGACCTGAGATAGAATTCGAGGGGCCGCTGTACAAAATGGAAACGCAAGTCCCCTTATTCAAAAATCGTTGACAGTTTCAGGGCAGTGACAGCAGAGCATTAGATAGAATCAGGGGACCTTGCAGCTCGGGTCACTGTTACCTGCCAGGGTTCCAAGCTCCTGTCCCCCGAGGCTGCACTGCCCTTCCCCACACGCCCAGAGAAAGTGGGCAACCACACAGGCTTCACATCCCACCTGCAACCTATGGCCTCTGCACTCCTAAGCCTGTCCCACACAAAACTAGGGTCACCACTTTCTGGAAGAAGACTGAGCTGTGGTTGAAGAGCAAGAACTCGAAGCAGCGGCTGGGTGCCTTGGCTCACACCTATAAGCCCAGCACATTGGGAGGCCTAGGCAGGCGGATCACCTAAGGTTGGGAGTTCGAGACTAGCCTGACCAACATGGAGAAACCCCATCTCTACCAAAAATATGAAAAAATTTAATAATCCCAGCTACTCGGGAGGCTGAAGCAAGAGAATCACTTGAACCCGGCAGGTGGAGGTTGCAGTGAGCAAAGATTCCACTCCAGACTGGGCCACAAGAGCGATACAAGGAGAAAGAGAAGGAAAAGGAGGAAGAAGAAGGAGGAGGAAGAGGAAGAAAAAGGAGAAGAAGAATTTGAAACAGAGGGGTCTGGCTTGGTGTCCAGGCTCAGCCCCACTTGCTGTGTGGCCCTGGCTGAGATGCTTTAGCTCTCTGGGCTTCAAATGAGGATGTGGGTGCTACGGGCCCACAGCCTGTTACCATCAAGGGCTCCGCAAACGGCAACGGGGTCATATCAAAGGAAAAACAGTGATGCCTAATCAATGCAAATCAGGTTGTTGGGGAAAGTGTGTTGGGTCAAACAAAGCCTGAGAAGAGACCGGGAGTCAAGCACGCACTGACAAGGCCTGTCTTGGGTGGGTCTCCACTTTCTGCTGCCCCAACCCTACCTGGATGCACAGGGGCCTAAGGAAGCTGTCCTAACAGCTGGGCAGGACAGGTGTGGAGGGATTGCAGGGCTAGAGACTAATGAGGTAGGGATGGAGGGAGCTAGGGAGGGAGGGAGCTGGTGGCCCGAAGTGAGTTAAGACACAAGATTTTCCTGCTCTCACATTGGGAGTATGTGGATGGCGTGTTTGGCTGGGTTATTGATTTTTATTTCTTATCCATTGCTAGTTTTGATTGTAAAACATGTTGAATTCTAAAATCGTCACCAAAGGAGCCACCATCTGCAGGAGTAAAGATGGGACTTTTCTTTTGTGCCTCTTCCAGGTACCTGGCTACTGGGGGCCACTCTGGACAGTGAGGCTCCTCCCTACTTCACCTGCCTCAGCGTTTGTGACTAATCAGGGCAACAGAGGGGTTGCATGGAGGGAAAAGTGGGTGGCCTGTGTGTGTGTGGAGACGAGGCATGCTCAGTTCTCCTCTGAGGAGCTATTGGCGCACTTGGGTCCCGGCACAGAAACCAAGACATTCCTGGGGCCCTATCTGTACTTTCAAATGCAAACACATCCCCACAGCCCCAGTGAGCCAGCTATCACAGATCTGGGCTCATATCCTTCCAGAGACAGACCCAGGTTTCTAGTCTTAGGGACGATAGGTGGGGAGATTGGAGGGGGAAGGGAGACACACGTGAGAGCAGCCACACCCTGGAGAGTGCTGATGCAAACCAAGCAACCAAGGAAAAGAAAACCAGAATAAGGGGACAGGTGTGGTAGCTTGTGCCTGTAATCCCAGCACTTTGGGAGGCCTAGGCGGCGGAGCACGAGGTATGGAGATCGGGACCGTTCTGGCCAACATGGTGAAACCCAAAATACAAAAATTAGCTGGGCGTGGTGGCACATGCCTGTAGTCCCAGCTACTCAAGAGACTGAGGTAGGGGAATCGCATGAACCCAGGAGGCAGAAGTTGCAGTTGAGCCAAGATCCTGCCACTGCACTCCAAACTGGCGATAGAGCGAGATTCTGTCTCAAAACAAAAAACAAAAAAACCACAAGAATAAAGGACAAATATGAATGCCTGACTACTTACTGGTGTTGAGGAATTATCTTAATGGCTTTATTTAATTAATTAATTAATTTCAGACAGAGTCTCACTCTGTCTCCCAGGCTGGTGTGTAGTGGCACGATCTCAGCTCACTGCCACCTCCACCTCCCGGGTTCAAGCTATTCTTGTGCTTCAGCCTCCCAAGTAGCCGGGACTATGGGCATGTGCAACTGCGCCCAGCCAATTTTTTAATTTTTTGGTAGTGACGGGGCTTCACCCTGTTGGTCAGTCTGGTCTTGAACTCCTGATTTCAAGTGATCCGCCCTCCTTGGCCTCCCAAAGTGCTGGGGTTACAGGTGTGAACCACCGCACCCTGCCAGAAATTATCTTAATGGCTTTAGTTGGGGCAGTGGTGCTGGGTTATTCTGAAAAAACACAGGAGAGTGGAGTAACATCACCAAGATGATGGAGTAGGAGATACCAGCCTTCATTTCTCCCTCCCCCTACCCACACACAAATCAAATACAGACAGATATTCACAAGCTGGAATAGACCAAAATGCTCAAGGACCTATTGAAGATCTGCAGCAACACAGTGGAGCAAAACGAAAAAAACCCAAGAGCGTCCACATGAGAAAGCTCACTGGTGAGATAATGCATACCTGAGCTGCCAGGAAATCCTTATGAACACAGAAGAAAAGCACGAGCCAAGTATCAGCTACGCAGTGGGAACCACCAGGGACCCCAGCAATCTGCTCTACAGCGGACACTGCATCACTTGTTGCCGAGGTTATAACAGTCAGTCCCGCCAGGGTCTCAGGGAGGTAGGACCTTAGCGTGCTACCCCCAAAGGGCTTCAGACAGCTACCCGCATGGGGTAATAGCGTTTCAGTTAACAACGGACCGGACCGAATATACCACAGTGGTGTCGTAAAATTATGACTCTCTTCCACCACCATTTGAAATCCAACTCCATAGATACACTGCTGCCTGACCTTGAGTATGCACCAGCACCCTCCTGCCCACAGCTCCTCCGCCAGCAAGGACCTGACTGAGTACTGCAAGCAATACAGAGGAAATCGCAGAGGGATCCAAGATCATCTCGAGCAAGAATCTGCAGGATGATGATACAATGTTACAAGCAAAAAGATCTAAGTATTTGTCTTGACTTAGGTGAGTTGCACACTGCACAGTTAAAACAGTTACTGGAAAATCAGGGGGATTTGTATTTGTGCTTTTGGAAAATGCTGCTACTGCTGTTAAGACCTTGGAACTGAAAGAACAGAAGTTGGATGGCAAATTAGTAGGACCACCTCTCACCCCCGCCACAAAGAGCCAAAGCTTTAAAAGGGAAAGAACCCCCCAAAAGGTTTTCATGGGTGGACTGAGCCCAGATACTTCTGAACTACTAACGAAAGAATATTTTGGAGGCTTTGGAGAGATCAAATATATTAAAGGCCAAGTGCAGTGGCTTACACCTAGAATCTTACCACTTTGGAAGGCTGAGGCTGGAGAATTGCGTGAGACCAGGAATTCAAGACTTAGGCAACATAGCTAAATCCTGTCTCTACAAAATTAGAAAATTACCAGGCACTGTGGCTCACGCCTGTAATTCTAGCTGAGATGGGAGGATTGCTTGAGCCTGGGAGGTCAAGGCTGCAGTGAGCTGTAACTGAGCTACTGCATTCCAGCCTGGGTGATGGAGTGAGACCTCGTCTCAAAAAAAGGAAAAAAGGACCGGCTGTGGTGGCTCATGCCATAATCCCAGCATTTTGCGAGGCAGGTGGATCACTTGAAGTCAGGAGCCCGGCTAATGTAGTGAAACCCCGTGTCTACTAAAAGTACAAAAATTATCCGGGTGTGGTGGCGTTCGTCTGTGGTCCCAGCTACTCAGGAGACTGAGGCACAAGAATCGCTTGAACCCAGGGGGCAGAGGCTGCAGTGAGCCGAGATGTCGCCACTGTACTCCAGCCTCGGCAACAGAGCGAGACTCCATCTAAAGAAAAAAAGGCTGGGCGCGGTGGCTCATGCTATAATCCCAGCACTTTGGGAGGCCGAGGTGGGCAGATCACAAGGTCAAAAGATCAAGACCATACCGGGTAACACGCGAAACCCTGTATCTACAAAAAATACAAAATTAGCCAGGTGTTGTGGTGGATGCCTGTAAACTCAGCTACTCGGAGGCTGAGGCAGGAGAATTGCTTGAACCCTGGAGGCAGAGGTTGCGGTGAGCCAAGATCGCATCTGTGCACTGCAGCCTGAGCAACAAGGGTGAAACTCCGTCTCAAAATTTTTTAAAAAATAGAAAAGGAAAAACAACACTATTGAACTTCCAATGGATACAAAAACAAATGCAAGTGGAGAGTTTTGTTTTATCACACGTGAAAAATTGGAATAGAAATTGTTAGCAGATATCATCAAATTAGTTCTGGGAAGTGTGAAATCAAAGTTGCACAACCGAAAGAGGAAAAGATGCTGCAGCTGGCAGATGAGGTGGAACTAGGGGTCGTGGCCAAGGTCAGGGCCAAAGCTGGAGCTAAGGATTTAATTACTATGATCAAGGATATGGAAATTACAATAGTGCCCATGGTGGTGATCAAAACCACAGTGGTGATGGTGGATAAGGTTATAGTGGGTGTGACTATGGGAACTATGGGTATGGACAGGCCGCATTGCCTAACACAGCCCTTACAACAATCAGTACTTGGAGTGCTTGAGATGCTGCGCAGTGGCGA